TGGGCTGGCTCCTGTACTGTGGTCTGGAGGGGCAAAGGGGTTATTACTGGTTCAGGGTCTGAGAGGGGCCACCTGTGGAACAAACTTGGTTTGAGATGAACAAGTGGCCATCTTGAGCCCTAAGGAAAAGATTCTTCAAGTGCATCTTTTATTCCCACCTCTCTCGGATATTGTATCGGTCCTGGGGAAACGGAAGCAGGCAGCTCCCTGCCTCCTGCAGTGAGTGCCACAAGGTCTCCCTGTTTCCCGCTGACGGGGCAGTTTACGTGCTGAGCTTGGTGGGGAGGGTCGAGTGAAGGCAGCTAGGGGCCAGGACCTGGTGAGTCGGCAGCCAGTCCAGCATCCTATAGTCTGAGGAGGAGATCTGGTTGCCACAATGAGGTCTGGTCCCTCTGGTTCTGGGACAGCAGAGCTCAAAAGGCTTCAGGTGCACCGGGCCGTGCCTTCACATCATCCTCCTTGCCCGCCTTGGGGTTGGTGGAATTGAGGGCGGTGGATTGACAGCCTCCACGCCATCATCCCCCACTTCCACCAGGGCCACCTCCCACTGGTCCTTCTCACACAGCCTAGGGGAGCGACCTGGGTGTTGCAGGATGACATTGGACTGGTCCAGGGCGAGGTCTCTGTCCTGGAACTTGGGGAGCTGCCTGTACAGAGAGGAGACCTTGAGTGGATGCTGCAGCCAGGTCTCCTTGGTCACCACCTCCTCCTTCTGACTGTGATCCTGGCCGCAGCAGCATGTGCACGGCCGGGCAGGCCCTCCAACAGGGAAAGAGATAACGTGTAGGGCGGCAGGGTGGTGGCAGAGCTCAGGCCAGTGTGGATGATCTTTTACAGAAACTGACATGGAGGGAAGGGACCACTGTGCCCTGCAAAGGAATTAGCATAAACAGCCACCAGAGCAGGACAGAGGTCTGAGCCACATCCCTCTAAACAGTTGGTTTAAAAGTGGTACCAATAACTTGGCTGCTAAACTTTTGTGCCACCTCCTTTCAGAGCCTCTGAGGTTTACCACTACCTACTTTTGGACCCAATCCAGGACATTACCTGAACGGTCCCTCCTCCGTGGCATCACCACCTTCTGTCTTGTGGCTTAATGTTGGCTGTTTGCCTATAATCCAATGGGAGTCCATGGGTTTTACTGCAAGCAATTTTTTACATAAATACCAAATCGTATAACTTGTCAATAAGGAACACTTTTTAAGCAAATCAGACACAGTGTCCTCACTATGAAATGTATGGCCCTGGAGAGACTTAGCCGTTGAATTTGCAAAGTCTCCTCGGAGGAACCTTTTTGGAGAGAGACTTGCTCACTGCCTTGGGAATTTCCTTTCACAGGAGGCCAAGGGAGCAGGTGCCTGGGCAGCTGCGAGAAAGTGTCTTGTTTACAATGTAAACCCTCCATGGTTCACACTCCCCCAGGCCCAGATTCTGGCCAAATAGTACAAAGATGAGTCATCACAAAGGAATATAGGAAAAACAAAGGGAAGTGAAACTGTAAAAGAGGCAAAAATTAAATCGATAAAGCTAATAATATCTAAACTGGAATCTGTAAGTGACTGAAAAGGACAATAGTAGGATAGATCATTAGAGCTAGTATTTCCAAGTTCAGGAAATTAAAAGCTTGCATTTTCCTTCAGTTAAATATTTACCTTGAAAAACTTTCCAGCATTTATCCATTCATTCAAAAAACACTAGGAATTAAAAAATGAAATGTTTTGAAAGGCAATTTTCCAACATCTAATAAAATTTAAACTAGTCTTTTGACTAAGAAAAATACTTCTCAGAATTTATCCCTCAGTAAGACAAATAAATATATACAGATAAACATAGAAGGATATCCAAAGCAGCGTTAGGTTTAAAAATGAAAAACTAGGAGTATCGGGGTAGAGCTCAGTGGTAGAGTGCAGTGCTTAGAAGGCATGAGGTCCCGGGTTCAGTCCCCAGTACTGCTATTAAAAAACAGAAGAAGAAGAAGAAAAAGCAAACACAACCTAAGTTCCTTCAGCAAAGATTCAGGGAGCACCAATTAGATCTGCTCACTAAACCTGACATCTTCACCCACACTGGCCATCCTAGCCCTTCTCACGTTTTCAAGGACTTCGCTCCTGCCGCCAGCCCTTCATAAATCACCATTTTAAAATCTCAACCAGAACATTCCCATTAGTGTAAAACATGATGTCATCATCGTCATTTCAAAAACAAACACGAGAACAAGCAATCCTCTTCCTCAACTTAGTCTATTTCCAATCGCTCCATCCTCTGCTCAGCTTTAGAGAAAATTCTTTCAAAGTGTTTTCTCTCCCAGATGTCACTATTTTCTCACCTTCCATTTTCTCTCTAATATCCGAGTCAAGTTTCTATCCCCATCGCTCTCTGGAACTACCTCATCAAGGTCCCTGTTGACCTCCATCTTGCCAACTCCTATAATAATTCTTGGTCCTCATCTTGCTTTCTTGGTCAAAGGTGTTTGACTGAGTAGACCTTTATAAGACACATTCCCATTACTTCTGAGGATTGCTTCTTCTTCACCTATTTCCTACTCTTTCCCATTTTTCAAGGTTGAAAGCCCCAGGGCTCTAGGCCCCCTCCACTTCAGTACCCAGATTCTTTTCCAGAATGACATCATTCACTCCCATGGCTTCAGATAGCATCCATGTGTTGATGACTTTTAAATCAATATCTCCAAACCTGATAATCCTCTCATTTTGCCTGGGAGAACTCAAACACCTACTTAACATCTCTACTTTGATGTCTAATACATCATTTAATCTTAACATAGCCACATCAGAGTACTTCGTTTTCTCCACTTCTTCTCTCAAACCCGGAGCTCCCCTCAGCTCTCGCATCTCAGCTGATGTAGCCACCAATCATCCAAATGCTAGGGATGACTCCTGCCAAAAGTCTAGAGTTATTCTTGGTTTCTCTCTGCTCACCATCATCCTTCTCCCCGATTCAGTCCATCAGCATAGCCTATGAATTCTACATGTAATATACACCCTGAAACTGACCACTCCTCACTGTATTCCTGGAAGCTCCATGAGTCACAGCTTTTCTCAGACACAGGATTCCTACCTGGTCACTCTGCTTTTGTTCTTGCTCCCCAAACAGCCCATTAGCTACTTAGCTGCCAGAGCGGTCTTGTAAAATCCTAGATAAGTTCACATCACATCCCTGCTTAAATCTTTCATGGCTTTCTGCTGCACCCAGAATAAATTACAAACCTCTTACCACGACCCTAGTGACCTCAAATACCAACCACCATTCTCCCTTCCTGCAAGCTCCATCCCACCCCCACTAGTCTTCTCTGGGTTACTTGAACAAGCCAAGCTTGCTCCCATTCCTGGGACACAGCACCAGCTCTGTCCTCTGCCTGGAAAGTCCTTCCCAGATATCTTGGGGTCCAACTTCCTTGTTTAGTTACCTACTCTAGTTTGTCATCTTGAAAAGACTCCTTCATGACCAATGAAGAATGAAGACTTCCCCTATTATCTCTACTCCCTTACTGGGTACCCCCATTCTTACTGCTTATTTAATTGTTTGTTTTCCTTATTCCCCTTTTTATCATGTACGTTGAGGTTAGGGGCATTACCTTTTTCACTGCTGCCTGTCAGGCATCTAGAAAAAGCCTGCTACGTAATAGATGTTTAGTGTTTTTGTGAATGAATGAATAAATGCTGGAAAGTCTTTCAAGATATACATATTTAACTGAAGGAAAAAGCAAGCTTCAAAATATGTCCAGTCAAGTCCCATTAATATTAATACTAACAGATATCTTAGTACATGTTTATATTTGTATTGCATATAATATTTGAATAAATGCATAGGAAAATTTTCAAGATTATTTTTTAATCACTGCAAATTTTATTCAGAAACCCAACTTTCTGTTGTTATTTTTTCAAGATCTATTTTTACTGAGATATAATTAGCATATCACATTGTGGAAGTTTAAGGTATGTAATTTATTGATTTGCTACTTTTATATATTGCAATATGATGACCACCATAGCTTTAACTAACACCTCTACCACATCACATCACTTTTTTTTTTGCAGTGAGAACATTTAAGGTCTAGTGTCTTAGCAACTTTGAAGTGTATCACAGTATTGTTGACTATAATCACAATGCTGGGCATTGGATCTCCAGAACTTACTCATCTTTTAATTGCAGGTTTATACCCTTTGACCAGTATCTCTCCAATTCCTCCACCCCCAGCCCCTTATAACCACCATTCTACTTTCCATACAAAGACAGCTCTTTTAAAACCCACATATAAGTGAAATTATACATTATTTATCTTTGTCTGACTTATTTCACTTAGCATAATCCCCTCAAAATCTGTCCATATTGTTGCAAATGGCAGGGTTTTCTCTCTTTTCACGGCTGAATAATATTCCATTCCATTGTATATATCACAATTTCTTTATCCATTCACCTGTTGAGAGGCATTTAGGTTGTTTTCATGTCTTGGTTATTGTAAATAATGCTGGAGTAAACATGGGTGTACAGATATTTTTTCAATATCCTGTTTCATTTCCCAAGACAGATTATTAACTGAAAAAAGGAAGAGTTTTCAAATGTTATGTAAAGTCAAGTACCATTTCTCTCACTACTGTCAATAAAATATCTTTATATATATATATATGTATATATACATTCAAATCTAGATAAATATACATAATTATTAACAATGATTATCCCTGTTGATGGAATTGGGGGAAGTTTGCTTTCTGTATTATACACTTCAGCAAAATTGTAATTTTTACATTAACCACAAATTTGTAATCTGAAAAAAAGACATATTAAAAATAAAATCAAGTAAAGTAGAAACATTTAGAATGAGAAAGATGCTGGAAGCCAATTAGGTAAAAGATTAAAATGTGGAAGTGATATAAAATTATGATTACATAGCTTTATGTGATTATATAAACTGTTGATGAAATTACAATGCTTGGGGAAAAAGTTGAATTAAAGTGCATGTCCCACTCTGCTCTGCCCAGGAGCCTGTATGGTATGGACTCCACTGATACACCTAGTCTCAAGTCCTCTGTTACTCTGGTTGGGTTCAGCCAGTGAGGAGTCCCAGTGAGAAAAAGGAAGGAGGAAAGCAAAGCCAGAGTATGTATCCCCCTTCCTCCCTCCCTGAGAAGTCTCCTGAAGTTGGCTGGGTCCCTGGGGGGAAGTCCCCCTGTTTCTCAGGGCCACTAACTCTGCAGAATCCTCTTCTCCCTGATCCTAGCGACTGCTCCCTCCCCTCCCCCCTTCCATCGGTTTCGGTTTCCAGTTGGGACTCTTGACAGCCCCCTTGTGGGTAAAAATATGAATGTTTCTAAAATGTTCTTCCTGTTTCCCAAAGATCCAGAAAAACAAGATTCCTGGTGAAGCTACATCTCTGGTATTAAAGCCTTCCTTCTGCAGGGCAGGGCTTGGCAGACTTCTCCGTAAAGGCCAGACAGTCAGTACTTTAGGCTTGGAGAGACCCTACGTCTCTGATGCCCCTACTCTCTCCCTGCAGTGGCTCCAAGGCAGCCACGGACGGACGGGAGGGAGCTGCTGCAGACGTTCAGGGAAGCGCCTAAGGCACTGTGGTTCAGTAACACGTTTGCTGCGTGGTTTTGTTAGACACTCTTCATAAAATCTAGGAGCACATTATTTGTAAGCTCCATTTTACAGGTTGGGAAACTGAAAATCATTGAGGTTAACAGCTGGCTGTAAGTCTCATAATTATGCAGAGTAGCAGCCATAATCCACGGATACCAAATTCTTTGCTCACGTTACTGTGCAGAATTTCTTTGAACAAGGTGTGAAGGCAGCATTACTATAAAGAATGATAGGTTAGTGAGTGAGATTTTTGAGGCTAACAGGGTTTGGGTTCTTTTTTTTTTTTGAAATCAAACCATCTGTTGGTAGGCTCAATCCTGGATAGATGTATCACTGCAGGATTGTATATATGATGACAGTAAGATTCTAGAAAAGAAAAGAGTATATAGGGGAATAGTGTGACATTTTAATTATCTCCGTAACTGGGTTCTTCCTCTCCATCTTTTTTTTTTTTTTGTCTTTTTATTTTTTTTAAATTAAAGTTTAGTTGGTTTACAATGTTCTGTTAATTTCTGGTGTACAGCAAAGTGATTTTAATTTATACATACATAAATTCCTTTTTCCATTTAAAGGGTTATCACCAAAATAATCTAATATAAGTCCCCTG